GCCCCCTGGCCGCCCCTCATCGCTGTGCCCCATGTTCAGTGTCCCCCCGGTGAAATGATCAGGGTTTGATGGTGTTTGTCAGGGCTGCAGCACCGGCGGTCAAGTCACGGAGTCAGGGAATCACAGAGTCACAGAATTACAGAATCATAGGCTCAGAATCACAGAACCAGAGAACCAGTCATGGAATCCTGGAATCACAGTCACAGAATAACAAAATCACAGAATAAAAAAATCACAGAAGCACGTACCCTCAGAATGACAGAATAATGGAATCACAGAGTCATGGAATTGCAGAATCACACAGTCATGGAATGACAGACACAAAATCACAGTCATGGACTCTCAGAATCACAGACTCACAAAATAACAGAATCACAGAATTACAGAATCTGAGAGTCATGGAATTATAGAATCTCGGGATACCACAATTACTGAATCATAGACTCACAGAATCACAGACTCACGAATCTCAGTCACAGAGTCAAGAAATCAGTCACAGAATCACAGAGTCACAAAACTACAGTCACAAAATTACAGACTCACAGAATCACAGAATCACAGGTTCACATACTCATGGAATCACAGAGTCACAGAATCCAAAGATCACAGACTCACAGAGTTAGGAAATCACGGACTGACAGAACCACAGAATCTCAGTATCCCAGAATAACACAATGGTTCAGGTTGGAAGGGACCAGAGTGGGTCATCTGGTCCCCACTCTTTGCTCAAACAGGGTCTTTCCAGAGCACACGGCACAGGACTGTGTCCAGACAGGTCTGGAATATCCCCAGTGAGGAGATTCCACACCCTCTCTCGTCTCTGTTCAGTGTTGGAACTTCCTGGGCATCAGTTCCTGCCCGTTCCTCTTGTGCCATTGCTGGGCCTCCCGAGCAGAGCCTGGTCCATCCTCTGCCCCCTCCCTGCAGACCCTACAGGGTCCCCTCTCAGTGTCTCTTCTCAAGGCTGAACAGCCCCAGCTCCCTCAGCCTTTCCTGGTCACTGAAATGCTCCATCCCTTCAGCATCTTTGTTTCCCTCCACTGGAGCTGCTCCAGGAGCTCCATGTCCCTCCTGTCCTGAGGAGCTGGACACAGCACTGGACACATCCCTGTGGCTGCTCTTCTGGCTGATGACTAAAAGAGGAGAAGGTAAAAATCCATGTGTTTCAGGTTCCCACTAGTGGGATCACCCTATTTTCCCCACCAAAACCCAGCTTTCCCCGGGATCTTGCCATCAGTCTTCTTCCCACTTGGCACAGCCCACGATTATCCTGGGAATCCCCCTGAGGGACCCCCACACTGCCCTGTCAGCGCTAGGTGGTAGCAGAGCACCGAGATGAGGAGGGAAAACAGGCGGCGTTTTCCTGACAAAAGGCTGAAAATCCCGCCTGGAGCTGTGCGGGCTCCCGCGGAGCGCAGGGAGAGCGGAGCGGGGGGTGCCGGGAGGGAGCAGGGCAGGGGATGAGGGTCTTCGAGGGGAGAGGATGAGGAGAGGGAAGGGCTTCGGGGGGTCTGAGGGATGTTGCGTTTGCACAGTGCTGGGAGGCTGGGAGGGAACAGGTGAGTGTTTCAAGGAGAAAGGTTCAAACTGGGTGTAAGGAGGGACCTTTTCATCACCAGACCAGCCGAGGGGATCTCAGGAACAGGTTCTTCCCCCAGAGGGTGGTCGGGCACTGAACAGGCTCCCCAGGGCAGTGGGCACGGCCCCAAGGCTGCCAGAGCTCAAAGAGCATTTGGACAACAGGGCAAGAGTGGGATTGTTGGGGGTGTCCTGTGCAGGGCCAGGGGTTGGACTGGGTGATCCCTGTGGGTCCCTTCCAACTCAGGACACTCCATGATTCTCTAAGTGTCAGAGTGTGTTGCCTGAAGCTGTGTCATTTCCTCCTCTGGAGGATTTGAAGCCCCTCAGCCACCTGGGACCTCCAAATTCTTATAAAATGAGCTTGGAATTCTCCCATGAATCTCCAGTGGCTTCTAGAGCCCCCATCAGCTTTAACATCTACAGCTTCCAGAGACAGGGAATTCCAAAGCTGAATTACATCCCACGTGGGGAACTACCTGCTTTGGTTTGGTTTTTGCTGTGAGCCAGAGCCTTGCTGGTGCCACCAGCTCCCAAATCTCCTTGCTGGTGGTGTCCTGATCAGCCTCTGGATTTTGGTGGATGAGGAACCTGGGAGATGAAACAACAGGGCTGCAGAGGGGGAGAGAACAGGCAGCGAGGAAAAACAGGCCTCCAAAATTAAAAAAACCCATTAAAAATGATAGATAAAACTGAAGGGAGATGCTGGAAATGGCCACGGGACCCGGTCTTGGGATTTGTGGGCTGGTAAAAAGCTTTCCCTGGAAACCTCTGGGTCTGTGGGCTGACATGAGGATTTTTGGGATGCCAGTCAGGACTGGTGTGTGCCTGGGGACTGAAGGGCCAGCAGGGGTTCCAGGGAGGGGAAAGGGAAAGGGAAGAGGGCACACTGTCCTGTGTCCATGATCATCCCACCTTCCTCCCCTTCCTGGGTGGCTTTGGCACCATCCCACCAGATCCCGGCATGGGATTGAAAACAGGATTTAAACCGTCTGCTCCCACAGCAACCTTCTGCCTCCAGGGCTTTTTTGGAGAGCTTGAACTGAGTTTCCTTCCTCCAGGATGTGCTCCCTGCAGTGCCTGGGCCTGCCTGTGCCTGTGGTTTGGCCTCCCCGGGGGTCTCCGGAGCGTCCCGTGCCAACCAGCAGTTTGTGCCGTGGTTTGGAAAGGGCTTGTGTTGGGATATGGGCTGTTCCAAAGCATCTCCCCAGCCCTGCACCTGCTGCCATCACCTTCCCAGACCTATTCCAGCAGCTGCTGTGCCTCAGGGGACATTCCAGGTGCACTCAGGGGTTGTCTGTGTGTCTGGCCGTTGGAATTACAGCAATTCCTGCCCCTGAGTTGTTTGATGGAGCACATTCCACATGGAACTCAGCTGCAGGGTGTTTTTGAGGATGGCATGGAGCATGGGACAGGCAGGATACCTGTGGGAGGTGCACAATAATTTATTTTATTGTTATTATTTTATTTTTATTTTTAATTTATTTTTGTTTTTATTTTTAATTTAATTTATTTTTA